AACATCACTGGATTTCCGCAACATCATTCGAAACGATTGATTGATACAAGAAGACTGATTTCAGTTATCTCTGACCCCATTAAAGAGCGAAAACAAATTAGACTTAGATTGACCAAGAATCTTCGTACCGATCGTATGCAGTGGTCGGTGGCTAGAGTGATGCAAAAGGCATCAGTGTTGGGCAAGATCTAGCAACTGCTTAGGCTTATTAAAGATACCAACGAAAGAAGACGAAGATTAGTGCAACGACCACCGGAAAGGATGTTCATAACGACTCAGGGTAGGCGATTAAAATGTTGGGCAGAACACTGAAGCTTAATTCAACTGGCCTACAGCAACGCTTCAGCTGCCTAACATCCCGACTGAACCTGAATGGGATGAAATTGTCAGTCCTCCAACTCTCCTTGAAGTTGAGGTTGCATCGAACCTGAAGTGATACAGGGCAGCAAAACCTGACAGTTTGCCACCTGAAGTTTCCAGGGATGGAGGTAGAAAAATGATAAATAAAGTGACGGGGGTTCAGGTAGTTTATGGGAATCGGAGGTAGTTCCGTCGGACTCACCTGCTTCAATGGTCATCCCAGTCTTCCTCTGACAATCGTAGAGGAATTAGTTTGACTAATATCGTGTCCAAAATCCTAGAACCCATAGTTATCCGACCGTTAACTGGAGCTCGAGAACAGCGAATTCAAGGGAACTAGGGAGATTTCAGTTCCTGATGAGAGGTTAATCGATCGAATTTTCACTCACCGACAGCTTCTGGAAAACAAGCATACCTATTGCCGGCGGACACTTGTAATATTTCTTCATCTGAAGGCGACATTTGACTCTGTCGACTGTGAAGTGTTGTAGCAATATTTGACTGTGAAGGGAGTACCAACCAAGTATATAACGCTAGTCAAAGCTCTCTACTCGAACTCACACAGCCGTATAAGGGCTTATAGAGAGTTCTCACGTGAACTGACGACAACTAGGGATATTCAGTAACTGTTTAACTTCGTCATTCACATACTAATGGACAAAACCTTAGGTACGCCTGACTTCATGGGGATGGATATACTTCCTGGACATAATCTGGCTGAGTTGGAGTGTGCAGACGATATTTTTTGGCCAAGTGAAGACGCTGAGAAAATGCAGGGTATTCTGAATGCGTTGAGGAGAAATCTAAGAATGCTTGGCTGAGATTTTTCGCACCTGGCAAATGTAAGATGATGCTCCATGACTGGTCTGCTGCAAGTACTCCCAGTTTGGTAATAGACAGTAGTGATGGGATACGTCAACAACTCCATTTACTTGGGGAGTTGCATCAACCCAAACGGTTTGGTTAGGGACGAAATCCCAGCTCGGATGCAGAAGGCTCGTTTGACACTTGTCAACTTGCGTTATCTATGTCAACTGGCGAGCTATCCGATTGCAGGGTGAAGGATGAGTATACTGCTCTGCAGCCTGTTCTGCCTTGTTATATGGCCTTTGAAAGTAGGAGATATGAAGCAGTCACAGGTGCTTGATCATAGGCACCCTCGTACCATTGCTTGTTTTTGGTGGAATCACCGTGTGAGAAGTGTCGACGTCGGGTGAAAGGCAAGACAGACAGGTCTGTCAATTGATGGGGTTATGAACCTCAATCGACTGAGATGGCTCGGATATGTACTTACTCTAGGGGAAGTTGGATTAGAATAGGAAAAGGTTCGGAATCGCCAAACTAAGAGGTGGCACGATTCCATGAAATCTCAGCCGTGTGAGATGTAGAATGTTTGGCTGGGGTTCCCCGATACGATAAAAATCAGTAGTTGAAAACTCTTCGTGACATAGCAGAAAATCGGTCACAATGGCGCAGATGTATTCACTCCTTGACATCTTCTAAAGCATGAATATTCGCTCTAACCTTCACCTTTTAGAATGTTTATTCTCTCATACAACTTTGTCTTCTTTGATATCACTATTTTTCTTGACACCTGTTCCTTGTATACTACTGTGAAGTGTGACAACTTGAACCGCCTTCATATGTAACAATGAATTTCACTTTCTCTGTGAAATATATGTAATATTTTCTGTTAACTGAAGAGGTTTAAGTCAATCTCAAACATTCAAATAAGCTTAAAAACTTAGTAACAGATTAATTCAATGTGTGTGTGTTTGTCAACTCAAGACCCAAAATGCCTTATTGACTGAGTTAAATTACCGCTAGCAAAGAAAATCTACTATTGAGTTAGTTGGTTCGATAAGCAAACTAAAATGTGATTCATAGAATTCAAGATCAAAAAGCAAGACACTGGTTGGTATCCAGTACCTTCTTATTGAAGTGAGTTAAAATAGTAGATAATATGTGTTAAGTAACTTATCATTCGCAAAATAAAATTAAACACACTGTAAACCATAATGCTTGAAACAAAACAACGGAATTGTCGTTAAATGATATGAAAATAGCAAATTAATGATTCAAAAATTCTTAAGTATTAATCATCTTTGAGCTTATAATCTGATGTAAGAATTTCCCACCTTAACATAGGCAGCATTGTTGTTCAGTTAGCTAGCTAGTATCAATGTTTCGAAAAATATGCAGCTCTCAAATGGATCACTTGAGCTTCTATAGATCGTCAGAAAAGAATTACTCTGCTGTATCCAAATATTTTAAAAGTAGAAACTTTGACTTTAATAGAATGGCAAAGAATTTTTTTCACAATCACCAACGAAACTATTGATTAAATATTCTTCAAAATTATTATTATTACTAATTTGTCCCTCGGGTTCCTAATAAAATATAGGACTTCACTAGCACGTCTCCATTCAACTCTCTTCTCTGCAATCCTTTTCAACATCACTCCACAATTACCCACAAGCTCTCATCAATTCCTCCCACAATCTCCTCCATGCCAACCTCGCCTCCCACGCCAAACTCATCTTCCCCCATCTGGCTTCCACTTCACAGTCTGGGCTAACGCGTGATGTCACCAGTCGGCCTTCTCAGTGCATGAACATCTCCATCTCCACTTCCTTCCACTGCATATTTGTTCAGCGATAGCTTCTTGCCTCGTTGCTTCGTCGCCAGCCAACCAACCAGCCAGAGTTCCTTCTTCCTAATTCTATCTATTCTCACCATCTGAGCTTCAGTAACTAGCCAGCGTAGACAGTTGTTGATGAATGTCTGTAGTTTGTTGGAAGTGCTTTTCGTAGTGTGCCAAGTCTCTCAACAATCACATAGAAGCACTGACTTACTCGACTGGCATTCGTGTTGAAAATATGCATGATGTTCACGCTTTATGCTGAGTGGAGTGCAGAAGATCTACACACTGCTTTCAGCCTAAACAACGCCTGTCTTCCTATGTTTCCGATCCTGACTTCGACGTCCTCGTCCTCGTCCTCATCTGTGCCTGTGCCACCACCTCTACTTGAAACGATGCTGCCTAGATAGACGTAGGTGAAACAGGCTACTTCCTTTAAGTCTCTCCCGTTGATGGTGATTCGAGCTTGTTATTATTGTTGTTGTTACTGTTGGTGGTGTTGATTGGGTATCTTCATCACCTCTGTCTTCTCTACATTCACTTGAATAGTGTCCCGTCTTCGCTGCCCTACCTCGCCTCTTCTGTTAACTTGTTAGTTTTCACCTGTAGATCTTCGAGTTTGTGTAGGATTAGGCATAAGTCATTGGCGAAATCCAAATCTTCTAGGTTCTTCTCCGCTGTTCAGCGTATCCCCCTCTTCTTCAAAATTATGACTTTGCGATTCACTAGTCTACTTATACTCTGGATAAATAGTTTCGTTCGTTATACATTACCTCCGAGGTTGAAATAGGAATTTTAATTAAATCTGACAGAATGAAATTATATTGCAATGATATTAACCCTAAATGAACAGTACTAGATAAGTTCATTTCTTATGTGCATTAGAAGTAATAAATAAATAAAATTTAACATGAGATATTTTGGAAATACGAAACACATCACCAAGTTTTTCGCCGAATCTTCCTTGAATGAATCAACTAATTCCCGATGACATGTAGATTAAGATTATTAGATTACCTGAACTCGTGAGTAGAGGAAGTGCTACTCCATTTATTTACATTTTCCCTGCATACATAAGTTATATTAAGTCGAAAAAGAAAATAGGTTTATCATTTTGACTATCTGTGGTTTGACAGACTAGTATTGATACTGGGTGATGATTGCAGATGAAATGAAAATTAGGACTGCGGTTGGATCTTGTAGCTCAGTTGGTAGAGCATCAAACCGGAAACCCGGTGGTCGATGGTTCGAATCAGGTTGCGGTCTACATTTTCATCTCACCTTCAATTATCACCCAGTAACAATACATTTACTTTCATTCACATTACTTCACCTATTGTTGCCACTCAACCAACACGAAAAAATTGACCTATGAAATACACCAACTATTCAAACGTATATAAAACACCCCACCTGACAAAATCTCAGTAGGGAATCACACCCGTGAGAAACTGACCGAAAGTTGACTACTTAGACTAGTGATAAATACATAACTTGCTAAAGCTCAAATCTTAGAGTTATCTAAGACGACCTTATTACGCTTGATAATGCTTTTCAGTTAGGCTAAATATTTCGTCTATGCCAAAACGGACCGAAGAGAAGATAATAGGAATCTCAGAAAGTATTATCGGTCGTACTATTTTCTTCATCTAAAAGAGACTTCTTTTCCCAATATGATTGCACTGCTTAGTTTGCGAGCTTTTTATTGACTGTTCACTCATTTCTGTATGACTCACGGTTCCCAAACAACTTGTTTGTTAAGGGAAGTCAATTATTATGCATTAATCCATTTTCGATGCATGAAATCTATTATTTCATATATATCCGACCCCGTAAAAATACAAGGATATTGAGCAATCGGTCTTGTCTTCTGGTACACGGAGAAATAGAAGAAAGACTGCTAGTTATAAAATCATCGAGACCTTAAAACGACTACTGTAACCCGGAAACAATATCCGACTTTGGTCATAAATTACTTATCACAATAGAAAGAAAGATGTACATAGAAACTTTTTATACAAGAAATCAAGCGGGAAAAACATTTTCTGAAATTCTGTTTATCTAGTTAGACACGTGTTAATTGGTAGATAGCGTTCATCAGCTTTGTACAATTGTACAAACTAAGCAGTATCCCCATTGATTTCAGAAGTTTCAGGAGATGTAGAACGTTTAGCTGTATGACCCATGATACATGGCTTAGGTTCAATATTGGCCAGTCTCATCAAATGTAATCGTTCAAATCGTCCGATATAATGCCGAATACTATTTACTCCACGCCAGCCAGTAAATACCAATCTGCAACGAGGTAAACTGTCAGATGTCCACGCTTGATCCTAAAAGTTAATAGAAATCCGAAAAAAGTTTCAGTAATTATTTAATCTGGTTTTAAATGACTGAAGTTAGCTAACAAACACCATACAAACTTGAATCAAGTGTCTATCTTAGGTCAATATCGCAACTGAATAGAAGTCAATACTACTTCAAAGTTTGAGGTAGTGATATCGAGAAGTTAAGTATCCAAGGACAAAACGAAACATAAGAGTCCATTACCAACAAAATTTGTGTCAGGAATCTTCACTCTCCTAAAAACAAAATTCGATTAACCTGAATTAACCTTTCCGCTTACTTTATGTGAGTGATCACTGAATTTCATCGTACGTTGAGTTGGTTAAATGCTCCTATTTCCGAATTTAAATGTCACTCGGAACACAGAGTAAACAAAAATATGCATCGTTTACGCCAGCACATCAAGTCTGGTTCAACACTTGTAGTTAACGAGTTAAACAGAATTCTTAAGTTATCATATTTTTATTCGATTATTAAGAGTTGACAAAACACACAGAATAATTCATTTCCACCAAACCATGACTAGCTTTAGCACTGCGTATTCAATTATTACACTAGGTTAACAGTAAGTAAGTAAATTTAGATACTGAACTTAATGTGTGACCACTTCCGCTCACTGTGCCATCGAATACGTAATATTTGTCGCACGAAATGTGTCCAACTTGAACTTGACTTTCTAAGACGGACGCTCGCGGAAAACGGCTATTATAGCCGATTTATCGATAAGAATATGTAAGAAACACATGCGAAACCAGTCACTAGCTCAGTTTCAAAAAAGACTTTGTTCATGAACCTGGACTTCAAAGGTGACGCAGCATCAGATGTCCTGAAAAATCGTCTTTCCAGATCAATTAGTAGGACCTTTTTCGCGGCAAAACTTCACTTGATCTTTACCAGGCCACGTCCATGTGTATCTATCAGTTCACCTGCTCCTGTGGAGCGAGGTACGTCGGCCGTAGTCAAAGATTGCTGTCAACACGTATATGAGAACATATTCCGGCCTGGTTTAATAAGGTTTAAAGGAAATGCATCAGAAGTTCTATCCTTGAGTATTTAATCGATTCCAACCATTCAGCCGACCCAAACAAGGATTTCAACGTTGTCTATCGAATTCGCCCTAACACCCCACGTTTCCTCCGTGTTCAGCTTCTAAAAACACCAGAGGCTTTGGCTGCCTCTGAACTGAAGTCTGAACTTGGTGTGCAAAAGAAGTACGTACAGTCTTTGTCTCTACCTTGGCCTTAATTTATTTTAGTCTTGGTGCGCTTCGTCCTATTTCTTCATTTTTCACCCCCTTCCCCTTTTTTGTCAGATTAATCTTTGTACTCTTATGTCGTCATTATCACTCTGTTTTTTATAGTTATTTGTTTCCGGTGTTATTTCATTTGATCTTCCTAATAATCGCAACTTTTAACAAAACATTTCCAATTTGCTTCAATTAACTCGTCTCATTTATATTACCTAATCCATTTGGTTGTTTATTAACGTTCTCACTCCTTTTATCTATATACCCTTTATAAACGATTTGAAAGTCTTACGTAACCCCTTTTTGCTACCATTCGACCTTTACGTCATCAACTATCAACATTATAATTATCACCACCATTATTATTATGGTTTCAAACCCCATTATTTCAGTTAAATCTTCCTCACGGATTACAGTCTTTAAATATCATATATATATATATATATATATATATATATATATATATATATATATATGTTGTTTTTGATGTCACAATGGGAATAATGAACGTACTTCTATAATTATCTAGATATATTATTTCAAGTATTTGCACCAATGTGTGTAACTGAATTCTCAGACTAGTGAAAGAAGTTATTCTTTCAACGTTTGAACCAGATTCTAAGGTCTCTATGAGTTTATTTATTTTATTTAAAACACAGACTTGTAACAAAAGGATAACCAAGAGATGCACTATACAAAATGCTATAGTAACACCAAAGACAAAAGATCATTTAGAAAGAGATTTTTAAAAAATGAGAAGAAACAGGATTATTCAAGAAGCAGTCATAGGTATGCTATATTCAAAGAAGCATTCGCTACTTTACTTTTGGATGGCAGCATAGTCGTCACCAGTTTTAATTCTGCTAGCATCCAAGGTCACTGTGTTGTGTGATCTTTCAGAGCCAATGGAGTGAGTTAGGAGTCAACAATATATGCTAACTCAAGACATCCTCTATCTCATGGTGAAATGTTATACACAGACCACCTCCATTTCTTCTAACTAGTCCCAGGACAAGCGAACAGTGACACATCCACATCTTTGAAGCCGGGGTTTCCAGATAACTTCACTCGATGAATGATGATCGTCTCATCAAAATAAGTGAAACTGCCCCCTTCCTATTACTTAAATGGTGTTTACACTTGATATAGACTATCCTACTCAGAAAATGGTGATCAAACAGAGAGTTGTCGAACGACCTAAACTCGGATACGCCAGGTTTCACTAGTGCCCAGTAGGAATATTTGCAATAACAGGTTATATATCCGATCTTTTGCAATCATACGTCAAGATGGTGCCAAGGGTGATTCAGATTGTTATACTCGACTGATAGCTTATGACTTGATGTAGTAATCAGGCTTGTATCTCCCGGTAATTTTAAGTTCATCGGAACCGTTATTTCTCCAAATGTTACTATAACAAAAAGATTTATGGATAGTAATAAGAATAGAAAGATTACCGTCACATGGTGGGGACTAGAGGAAGAAGTCATACTGCTGGCTGAACAGGTTGCGACAGCAGTATGGTGTTCCCAACGAATGATCAGTATTCTATAGCACTTTCACATCAAAAGGAGGCGTTAAAAAAGGTCTATCCAAAAAACAGCTCTCATTTCTACCTTGCAGTCTTTTTGTGGAATTTTCTTGTCCAGCGGTAGCGCAATGAAATCTTAATCCAACTATCTTCAAAAAGCAGTAAGTGACAGGCTTCAAGTAGAAGTTGCTTTAGCTCTTTGAGCATGTTCCGACTATTAATTATCTACTTTCAACTACCTTATCAAAGTAACTTTTACAGTGACGAAAGATGTGAAGTACCAACTTCCTGCACGCTTGTTGCAGCATGAAAAATACAACCAACTATAACCTACCTTCCTTGCCTTTACGTCCTCGGTAATTTTCAAGTTTCTGATAACAACATTAGACACCTTACAGCTTCTCCCTATGTGATCACTGCTAACAATGTTAACAAATCAACTACAATTTCTAGTTTCCTAAAATCACCCTGCTGATTTAACATTGAAGCTTTCGACGCCCAAACCGTCTGACTGATAGAATAGCAAGGGTTATTTACCAAAATTCTAGAATCTTGTACCATGAATCCATGCTGTTTTTATGAGACGGGTATATAGTGAATAAACTGGTTATTCAATTTACGTCATTTCAGTAATGTGATGTATCTGAGAAATTTAACTCGAGAATAACTGGAGATTTAGAGACTAGTTTCCGTGGAATCGTTGTTGTCGGCATTGCCTTAAATCATACGGAAGAAAGAGGATACTAGCCGATAGTCAACTGTCCGACTCAGTGGATCTGGGACTGGAAAAAATTGACACTCTTCGATGCTTATTCGCCAAGTCCATCCCCCCCCCTCACGCATCTACCGACACCAATGTAGGAGATACAAAAGCTGATCATTACCAAAAGATTTCCATTTTTCTGTCCAAATAAAAAACGTTCAGACAGAGTAGTAGCAGAGAGCAACTTGAAAACTCAAGTACGGAAGCTGCGCGAATTCAAACGTTTATTGAAGGGATCTACAGTATCCCGTGCTCACCAGCCAATCGACTTACAATTTTGTCACGAAAGTCACTTGATTATGATGAATGGTAAATACAAGTTTAAGGAGAAACACTGTCTTAAATGGCGTTCGCTAAAATTAGGCTAACGGAAGATAGAGAAAGATGAGGTTATCAACCAATGCTGGAAAAATTTGGTGGAGAATTGCCGATCTTTTTGAGGTACGGGTATGTGCATACTTGTACCTCTGTCCTCCACTGAAATATAAGGACGTCAACCATGTGTGTTTACAGATAAAATAGCAAAACATTTATCTGAACATAGAACCAAAACTCTTACTCACGAAACCTAAAATAGTATTCAGTCTACTCTAAAACACTGTTAACAACAGCTCCTAACATAAAAACAAAGGTCAGCAAAAACAAAACTATAAATCTCACAACCTCATCTAAACTGATTGATTGGTGCTAGAAGATTCATTCAACCCGACTGTGAAGACCATTAACAGACAAAGTAAATGCAACATAAATTAACTAATAGTATTGGCAGTCACTGTGAGCAGTGCTGAGTGCCGAAAGCAAAAGAGACACATAAGATGTCAGCACTAGATAACATTCGGTAGTTATTCAAATACACTATGCAAAGTTCCAAGTTGATAGGAAATTTAAGAATAAGCACCACGGTGGATGGCAACGAGCTCTGAAGCGTATAACCATAGATCAAATGACTATTCTGGAAATACTTAGCACAAACTGCAGGTCGTTGCCGAATAAAGTTGATTACCTTCAGTCACTCTTCTCCACAAATGTCTATCGAAACATGGGTGTAATAATGCTGCAGGAAAAATGGCTTCATAATCTGTATGATGATGAATTAGTCTTCTTAGATGGTTTCAAATTATTTCGACAAGATCAAAGCTTTTCGAAGAAGAAAAGTGGTGGTGGTGGTGTAGCAACATTTATTAGTACTAACTGGTCCTCCTCCAACTATGTATGCTTCTGCTTCTCTAACGAAATAATTGAGTGCATTACCATCAAATGTCATCCCAAACATCTGAGCAAATACAAATACATATATATCACAAACATGTATGTCACACCTGACTGCACTTTCTCAGATTTGTCAACTTTTGCTGATAAATTCACTGAATTTGCTGCTCCGGTTCTGGGAAACTCCTTGTCTATTGTCTGTGGTGATTTTAACTCATGTGACTACAGTTTCCTATTA